GAGATAGAGAGATTACACCTTATTTTAACTGTGCTCTATCTGTATTTGTTCTCTTTTTCTTTCTATCATTAACAGCTTTAGCAAAAATGTAACTCACAATGTAAAAATGTAAACAGAACCAGACTCAGGTCAGTAAAACAGAACAGAGAGCAGGAAAAAGAAAGACTGATACAAAGAGACAGCTACATCTAATTTTTCTGGCTTTCTCCTGTTTGTTATTAACTGCTTTGACAAAAGCTGAACTTGTTTACACCAATAAAACACTGAACTGAGACAGAAAGAAAGAACCAACTCATTCATTCATCCATCCATTCAGCTCTGTTTCAAGATACATTTAGACAGGATGAAGCGAAACGTGCTGTGTTTTCATCAACCGCTAAGTCACACAACAAACACTCGCAAGATTCGCCAGCATTTTACGTCGAGTTCCCGTTCCACCTTAAATGGTGCAGAGTTCCACTCCTTACACAGTGACTGTGCGGGCGCCAGAACGCGACTGCCGCGCCATTTAAGGTGGACCGGAAAATTCGAATAAGAAGCGAAACTTCAGCTTCGTGGCTCGTCAGCTCACTCTGAAGCTAACAGGCCATTTGCTCAGCGGTTTAACAGGTACGGTCAGGTAAACTCGCCCAACAGAGGCAGAACGGCGGCTCTGCTGTAGCTACGGGAGCAGAGACATCAGCGAGCTGTGATCCGAGGTTATACTGACGGCCACGAGCGAAGAGCGGCAGTACTGACAGCACTAAGCTGAACTACACGCGCGTCTGTGGCCGGTTCGTCAGCTGTGAGGAAGCCGGTCGGTTAAAAGTTGCCGAAGCTCGTAACTGAGGCGTTCTCGGTGTGTAAATGATACCGGAGTGAATCATAATAAGTTAATAATGTCCTCCTAACGGACTCTCACTTACCGAACAGCAGAACCGGCAGCTTTAACGCCGCGTGCACTGAACGCGCAAGAGTAGCAACGGACTCTGCCGTAAAGCAGCGCCGGCTGACGTGAAACTGAAAGCGATCTGATGCAACATGAAGGCTGATGATGCAGAAGCATGTGAAACAGGCGAGCATTGAAATCAGTTTTAAAGAGGGATTTCACTGATTTTTCCAAAAAATATAAGTATAATTCAGTGGTTGGGATTTAAACAAAGTCATTCAGAGTGGTTTAATGTGAAATGGGTAGAGAAACTTACAGACTGAGATCTCTTCACAGTGGTGCTGATAGGAACCAGGAGTTGTGATGTCTACAACACAGATATAGGTTAGACATTTTATTTACCATCCAAAACCACCAGTGACCCTACACGAGTCCTCTGAGTTTTATATGTGATGTTGATGATGGTCAAATAGTGATAAATCTGAGAAAATAAGTTTCCTTTTGGACTGTTTTGCCTTGGAACACCCGCCCTGTATCCCTAAAATACATTTTTTTACTAATTTATCACACAAAAAAAAAAAAACAATAAAACATAAACCATAGAAAAATGTCTCGGACATCAGGCAGTGTATTCATAACCATTTGATGTGATAACTTTCTGTGAGGGAGCTTTTAGAGGCATTCAACTCTTCAGACGTCTGGTTCCTATCACCACCACTGTGAACAGTTCTGACTCGAGAAGTTTCTCTAGAACTGAGCGTTTTACAACGACCTACTCTTTTTTGAGTACAAAATTCTTCTGCTGACGTATAAAGCTTTGAATCCTTGCTCCTCAGTACTTCAGTGACCTTATTTCCTAATATCAATCGACTCGCCCAGTTAGATCACAAGGTGCTGCTCATTATTAGTACCCAAAATAAATAAAGTTACGTCAGGGGGAAGAGCCTTTTCATACAAAGCCCCCCAGCTTTGGAACAGCCTACCAGTCTGTGTTCGGGACACAGCCTCCATCTTTAAGTCTAGGCTATAAACTTACCTGTTTAGTCGAGCCTTTGGTTAATTTGTTTTCCTAACCATGTCCCTCGTGTATCATTCATTCATTCATTCATTTATTTTCATTTTTTTTCATTTATTTTGCTTTATATGTATTTTTGAGTATCCAGGTGTAAGTTGGTTTCAAACGACTTGTACACAAGGGGCGTGGCCGACGTGGAGCCAGGGGGCGTAGTCACGTCCAAGCGTTCAGTAGGTAAACAGCGCCACCTAGTGTACTGACTTCAACACTGGACATGCAGTATTTTTTTCCTGTCACTCTTGCAGAGGGTTGTGGTGTTGAAAAACAAAACGAGAGAATTTCGACGCTGTGGCTCTAAAACCGGATTCACTTGGAGAGCTGGTGTGAGTTTAAAGGGAAATTCCACCAATTCTGTATATTTCAGGGGTTGAGATGTAAACAAAGTCATTCAGAGTGGTTTGATGTGAAATGGTTCATTGTAGAGAAACTTACAGGTTCAGATGTCTTTGCAGTGGTGGTGATAGGAACCAGGGGTCACAATGTCTACAATACAAATATATCCATTTAAATTCACTGTGCAAAACCACCAGTGAACCAACACGTGTCATATATATATATATATATATATATATATATATATATATATATATATGACATATGTTGGTTCACTGGTGGTTTTGCACAGTGAAATTAAATGGATATATTTGTGTTGTATCTATCTATCTATATATATATATATATATATATATATATATATATATATATTTATATCTCACTGTTGTCAGAAGAAACCTCTCCATTTTTGATGTTTTCTAGTTGTTGACATCATTTGAAAATACCTATTACCCTTTACATTGTATGTAAATTTCATGATGAATGGACTTAAAAAAACGGCGCAAAATGACTTGGCAAAAACTCTGGTTCCATTGACTTACATTAAAAGTAAGGTATGTGTATAAATATGTACCTACACATGTCTTCTGAGTCTTTATATGTAATGTTGATGATGGTAAAATAGCAATAAATCTGAAAACAATTTTTTTACCTTAACTGATCCGATGTTTGTATAACTTATCACTGTTTATATGGGTTATATAACTACATGGGCATGGTAGTCATTTAATCAACATTCTTTCATAAAAATCCAACTTTATGTAATTAAAATGCAGCGCCTGTTTTGTAATAATGACAATAATGACATCAGAAAATCAGAGAAGCAAAGTTTTATTCAGACGTCACTCAAAGTCTAAATTTAAATGCAGTCTCAGGTTCCACAAGGACAAACAGATCTGTTCCCCTTTCTCTGTGGTACTGAAAGGACTCTGGTTGCTTTCAGGTCCCACAGCCTCGTCAACAGTACACAACACCACCGGACTGACTCTGAAACCCCCATCCCTTTATTATCCCTTTACTCATTTCTGAAAAGGAATCCTCATTCATTCCATTTAACTAGCAGTCACCTGCAAAAATGATTCACCAAAACAAAGTTGGATAAAAGAATGAGGAACAAACATATTAACAACTGTTCCACTCCAAAAAGTGATGCAGCAGAAACTAAAGGCTACTATATCTTACTCAGCACCTTCAAATACATTCAAGTATAAGAACACCATCAAACCAATGACCCCAAAGCCTTTCCCTTTCATTTTAGGCCCAGCACATTTGTATTAAAACTCCTGTTATGTAATGTGAAACCCTTTAACACCTACCACCCCTGACAGCGCACCACACCCACACTAACTTTACAAAGAATGTAGAAGTTCATCAAGGCATCGGAACTGACTGATCCATGCTCCACCCACAAATAGTTGGAAAACATCACATTCAACTCAGTTTTTATCAAAATCTGTTGATTTCTATATATCTTGGTTGTTATTAATCTCATATATATTTATATTTATCAATATTTTTTCTGTATGCATGTGAAAGTTCACACTATTAGGATATGTTATGTATATAAAAAAACTAAATAATAATATACATTTGAGCAATTAGGATTAAAATTAAAATCTGATGATTTTGTCTTCTAATGGGGACTGTCTTAAAGGTTACCATTAGAGACTACTAGTTTCCTGTAGGACACCTTTAGATTCAATTAGGAAACCATCAAATGCATCTGGAATGAGAACACCTGTAAAATCATTAGAGTCCTTTACACTGTGACCTCAACCCATCATAAAAACACAGAATATCATTCAGAATATCATATTGGACACCACCAGGAACAAACAGAAACCTTTAATGGTTTCTATGTTTTTTCAGCAGGGAATTAATTGGGGGTTTTTATGGATTAGCATCTGATTGATGATCTTAGCAGAAAGTTCACCAGCTTCTGCTCGCTTCAGTGTTGCAAGCTAGCTCAGTTAACAACAATGGTCTCATACAAAATCTTACTGTGCCAGAGGCCGTGTTACAGAAAAGTCTTATCTTTTTGTCTTAAGTTAAGATCTGACTTACTCGACTGAAGTCGACAATCAACAGTCGTGTCTGTTACCTAGCAACCGACCAATCACACACACATTCACACCTAGGGGCAATTCAGCAATTGGCCTGACTGCATGTTTTTGGACTGTGGGAGGAAACCCACGCAGACCCGGGGAGAACAGGCAAACTCCACACAGAAAGGACCCAGTCACCCAGCTGGGAATCAAACCCAGGCCCTTCTTGCTATGAGGCGACAATGTTACCCACTGCGCCACTGTGCCGCTCCGTGTTACTGGTGTAAAGAAAGGCGAATAAAACTAAAGTGCGATAAACTGAAAGTTAAGAATATTATTTCAGCGCTTCGTGCTGTTTTTCCAGAGCGTCGCCGCTCTCAGTTTCAGTTTCATTTCCCAAACACTTCAGCCAAGCACGCTAACGTTATTCCTCCTAAAAAATACACACACGTTTAGCCCTGTCTCCATATTATTCTCCACGATCACTGTAATATTTAATCTGATCAGTTTTTATCAACATAAATGCATGAAGGTAATAAGAGGGAAGGTGGAGATCGAGTCTGCAGCCTCTGGGGCTTTTAAACGCTGTTAGAAAAAAACTCACAAGTCAAAGCAGCGTTTTCAGTGTAGATAACGTCATTATGCTGGTTATAGTGAACTGTGCTGCCTATCACTGCATTAAACAATAGAAACAGACGATTAAAACAGAAGTTAAGACAGTTCTGGGGTTGTTTTAAAGTTAAGAAAATATCTTAAGTGAAGTTGCCATGGCAACAAAGCAGATCTCAGACTAACACGGCCCCAGTGCTCTACCTGGTAGTAAGTTTTTCACTGTTGCGACATAATGCTGATCTGTCCTATAGACCTCTTCTCTCCGTAGTTGTGTCATGCCTCTATTAGGAACTCTGGGCCTATGCTGGTTTTCTCTATGACAGAAAGAATGGCGTTTTCAAAAATCACTGCTGAATATAGATGCTGAATATATAAATGAATACAGTTTTAAATTACTAACTGTCTGAGTTGAGATATTTTGATAAAAACTGAGTTATGCGTGACAATGTCTCTTTAGATTGTTGTGAATTTGTCGGAGCTCACAACAGTACTTCCCAAAAAATGAACGGTGCCACTTTGCAATAGGAAAAAAGGTCTATGAATGGTTTAAAATTGGTTAATTAATGGTTATTAATTGATTAATTAAACATGAACTCTTTAAAAATCATTTCCAACTACTGCTGGCCAAATAGTGAGCCAACATTCATCTATACTGTCAAAGCTCAGTTCTTACTGGTTACTTATCTTTGTCTGCCTTAAACCTATCAGCTTCATCAGATATTCATCTTCGTCATAACAGGTCAATGTATTTATTCATGTGTTATAACAGCTTATAAATGAGTTTTAAGGTGTTTACGACCTAATTACTACCAAATTAATATTACTTAATGTAAAGTGGAACACATTTGTGGGCGGAGCATTTACATTAGAGCTGTACACTTAGTCATTCACTTAGGGAACCAACAAAAAGATGTAATTTGCCTGAGGGTGTTCAAAGTTTCGCATACAACTGTATGTTGATCTTTATTTCTGTTCCCAAATCAATGATATTTGGCGGCTGAATTTTCTCTGCAGCAACAGAATTATTGCCATTCCGGGTGCCAAGACTGTCTGTTGTGTACATTCGGAATGTCTTTTAATAGGCAGACAGTGATGATGGCGCAGTGCAGTATACACAAGCTTAAACAGGGAGATATGATGTCCAGACGATACACCCACATGCACTAAAAAAGCAATGTCCCGTCCTCATGCTCCTTCAACAGCCTCCTGCACGTTTTCCGCCACATTTTCGACCACATTCTCCACCACTCCGGAAACCTCCTGTACTTTTTCTGCCACGTTTTCCACTCCTCCAAAAGCTTCCTGCACGTTTTCCACTGCATTATCCACAACTCCTCCTACGATGGTGCCCACCGCTTTAAGTAGGTGACCCAGTCCCCTCTGGCTTCTCCACACCAAGGTCCCCAATCCTTTTCCCACCGTACTGGTTTGATGACCCATTTCGCAACCCACAGCGCCCAAGTACTCGACTAGACCATATCCTGTCGACCCTACCAAACGTCCCCCCAGCTCCAAGGCTTCCTGCAGCGTTCCGGTTGCTAGCCCCATAATGTCGCACATTAGCGTTCCAGTGCCAGCCACCCCCTCCTGGCAGGACAGCAGTAGGGTGCCGACTAATGTCCTGATGCAGAAGTAAAGTGACCCCCCCCCGTTCTCAACCACTCGATACAAGATGTTCCATATGTTCTCAGCTCCTGAGGCTACGCCGTAAACCACGTCCTGGACCACAATGAGGCTGTCCCGGGGTACTGCTGCTAGCACGGCCGCGTCCTCCTGCAGAACATAGGAGACTTGAGAGGGGAGGTTGGTCAGGGTGGAGATGACTGGAGATAGAGGGGCACAAAGGAGAGAAAAAGAGGATGACAGGATGTAGAGCAGGACACTCTCTGAGGGTTCAGATTCTGTGTCGTTAGCATTAGTGCTTTTCTCAATCGAGCTTTCCTCAATCGATCTCTCCTCAGTCAAGCTTTCTTCAATCAAGGTTCCTTCGGTGCTTGTGTCATCTGCTTCCGTATTAGCTCTAGATGGCTCCGCCCCCTCAGCAACCTGTGTATCCATGTGACTATCCCTGCTTGTCTCAACCAGATGTGTATCCTTGCGACTATCCCTGCTTGTCTCAACCAGGTGTGTATCCTTGCTGGCGTCTTGGATGATGTCCGATCTTTCTTTGGAGAGTGATATTACCTCCTCATGTCCATGACCTCCTTGACTACACCCCCCTGAAAAGAGTTCCTCAATCCCCACCAGTTTCTCCAGCTCGTCCACACTCATTACCTTCAAGTCGCCCTCTCCTTCCAGGACCATTCCCTTGCTAAAGCTAGTGGCTCCATCTGGGGCAGCACAACACACTGCTGTCCAGGGTGTCCCTGCTTCACACTCGCTCAATCTACCCACCCCGCTTTGAACATAGATGTTACCCCCTGCTTTGGAGCAAAGTGGTACGACCTGGCTCTCCACTACCTCTGCAGTGAGAGCGTCCACTTTCTGGAGAGGGGACAGCGAGGCGGACGGAGCCACATGGCGATCCCTCTTGAAGAGAGCTGGGACGAACATATGGGAATCTTCACCGCTCCAGGTTTCATCCTGCAGATACATCCAAGAGACAAAGGCAAATGCTGTGGTTAAGTACACATGACATTCACACGACTTTCCCCTTACCCCAATAGTCGATCAACCAAGATATGTTGGCTTCTTTAGCTTTGCACTGCATGACATAATGTTATCTATAAAATGGACAAAAGTACAGAGATGCCTACTTTAGGTTTCTGAGTGGCGCAACCGCCAGCTCTTAAACTATTGGCTCTATCATTGGGAGATTGCAAGTTCAATCCCCAGCGATGCCACAGCCATCCAAGGCCAGGAGTCCATGAGAGGACAATTGGCCTCGCTCTCTCTAGGTGGGTAGGACGGTCCCCGCCTCCTCCACCATCACTTAGAGTAAATCTAGCAACTTGGTTGAGCTGCCCAATGTTAGTAGTGCTTCACGTGACTTGGAGCATTGGAAGTATCATGTGATTGGAGGAGTCTTAGTTAGCGGGTGAACTTTGACATGATTAACTTGGGGAGAAAACTGGGAAAATGCGACAAAGATGGTGGCTACTACTGTTTTTAGTTATTCAGCACACTTTTATCCACATTTATAGATAACAGTACATCACACAGTCACACGTAAGTCTATTAGAGTTTACTTAACAAGTTGACCCGGTTTGAGGCAAATGTTTGATGATTTAGGTATGCAGTTTGCACTATGCTAACATTAGCCTAACCAAAGAAGCAGTCCTCGAACACAAAACATCCTGAGCAATTACATCTGAAGTAAGGAGAAAATTGTGTACTAGGGATGTACACAGGTACTTGAATACTCGGTTAACCAGTCAAGGTGCCAATACTGAAAAGGCTGTTCGTTTTGTTTTATCACGGATAGGCGAAGAAAATGCACAGGCAAACAATTCAGTGAAAGGCTAATTTTATGTTTTACCAATATAGTAAAATGTGGCAAACTCACTCATATGCACAGGTAAGTATATTCTACTACACTTTGCCACCATGAAGTACAAGTGCCTTAATGTGCAGGTGTTGCCAAAGATGTGCTGTTAAGGTCGTGACTGAGAGATGAACAAGTAACCCACTGGCGATGTGTAAAAGGCGATAATCGCTGCTTTGGTAAAAGAACTGAGAGAGATTTAGAACGAACAAATTTATCATTAACCAGCTTGATAAGTATGTTGGGAGACTGGGGTTCACGTTTAATAAGTGTGCAGGCTCACACCAGTAGTCAGTTTCAGAGATAGAGAGAGACAGACAGACAGAAAGAGAGAGAGAGAAACTGCTGGGTTATTTCTCTCTGCTACGCGCTGTAATGCTAGCTTTACCACACAGATTCCCCTTAATTTATTTTATGTGAATAGAATCGAAATGAAGCTTAACCTCAACGTGACTAGCTGCGGGAAAAAAACAAGCTAAAATAACTAGCATAGACTAGCGTTAGCGTAGAGCAACTCTAACCTGGAGAGAAAGTTTCTCTGATCCTCATCTACAGCCGGTGTTCTCAGAAAAAGTTCATAAATATTATTAAATAAAATGTACACATAACGTTTTATTCACTTTTACACTTAAAACGTAACAGGGGTCTCCTCATTATCTCTGCTGCGTGAGATTTACTGAGTAAAACGTGCACAGACTGAGGGTCCCTGTGGTTAGCTGAATTATGAAAATGCCACTGTAACGACGGAAAACGCCTTGTTTTTAATGTGGAAAGCAGGTGGACGTGGCTTTGGAAATTACTTGCAGTTTGTCCAACAGGGAGCGCTGTCAGCACACAAATCGCCATGAATCAAGAAGCTCATGAACACACGTGTTTGCAGTTTATTATCTTGACAGATCAAGTAGTTCTCTAAAGATGTTGGACTATTTAATATCATATTATTTAATATGTGAGGTTTATTAAAGATTTTCAATAAAACAGTCGATATTAAAAAACATATAAACTAAAATAGAAAGTAGGTCAATGCTACTGGGGACCATGTGTCTTTGTTTTGGGGCGGGTGGGGGAGGGGCGATTATATTATCGATAATTGTAATCGTTTAACTAGAAAATATCGTGCTAATTATTTTTAGATATTGCCCAACCCATATATAACCCCAGATATAACCCAAATATAACGCCTTAAATGGCCAGGGCTTGCTGGCAGGCCTAGTGTTATTACACACCTCTGTACCATAAGAATAGCTCAACCAGTTTGCACTGAAGTCCCTGTAGTTACTGAATAATAAGCCTTAGTATGTAATAAGCCTGAGATGTTAAAGGTTAAACACGCTAAACATGCTTCAGTGAAATCTTGAAGAGAACTTGCATCTCAACTGCGTCCAGTAAAGATTATTTTCATGCAGTGCTGAATCCCTATAAGCACTGCTAAAGCTATCAGAATCTAGAACTGGGGAGAAAAAGAAACCTTTTCTTTGCGGCTGAAAGAAAGAATGAATTTGTTCCGAGGTGTAAATGTATGCGACGTTGCTAAATGGGGTCTTTCACTGAACATAAGCAGCCTTGTTAAAAACGTTTGTCTGGTTGCCGTAGTTTGCATTTTCTGCTGACCCTTACTCAAACTTTCACCTCTGTTCTCCCTTCAGAAGTTTCATATGCAAACAAGAGAAAAACATTCATTGTTTAAATCCCCTTTATGACACTTCTTTAACATACAGCCAGTCAGAATACTTGAGACCCTCACACCATAATCAGGAATCAAATGTGACTTAAAGCGCTAATTCAGCCTGAAATCCAATACATGCTGTTTACTCCTTACCCCAAGCTTAAACGATCAGCCGAGACATGTTTGGTGTCTGAAATATGCTTCTTTAGCTTTGCACTGGAGCTACAAGGCTAATGTCGCTAACAAGTCATGGAAGGTTATGGCCACCAAGTAGCATCGTGCTAAATGTATACCCACACTTGCCCCAAACCAGGTTGAGAGGTTAAAGGGGAATGTTAAATGCTAAAGATTTTAAAGGGGCATTCCTTAATTTGTTTTATTATGTTATATTATTTATTTATAAAGACAAATTAAGTCATTCAGAGTGGTTTGGTTTTTCAGATTTACCACTATTTTACCATCACCAACATTACAAACATTATATGGACAAAAGTATTGGGACACACCTCTTAATCATTGAATTCAGGTGTTTCATTCAGTCCCATTGCCACAGCTGTATAAAATCAAGCACCTAGCCATGCAGCCTGCCTTTACACACATTTGTAAAAGAATGGGTTGTTCTAAAGAGCTCGTTGAATTTGAGCGTGGTGCTGTAATAGGATGCAACTCAGCCACGAAGTGTCAGACCACGAAAGTTACAGAGCGGGTCGCCGAGTGCCGAGGAGCATAGCGCACAGAAGTCACCAACGCTCTGCTGACTCAATAACTGCAGAGTTCAAACCTCCGCTGGCATCAACACCAAGCACAATGCCAAGCGTCGGATGGAGTGGTGTAAAGCGCCGCCACTGGACTCTGGAGCAGTGGAAG